AGGGACATTGTGATAACCGGACAGACTAGTGTGCTGTATACCCGTCTATATGATGGATGCAGCTAGTCTCATAGCTGCTCGTGTAGGGACACTAGGGATACAGTACAGGTTCTCATTGGAGAATGAGTTCACTGATTGATCCGCTTACGGAATGTTGGATGGTTGATGATGCCTTATTGTCAGACAGTGATTCCGTAGTCCTAGTGGTATATCTGGTCCTTAGACTTGAGACACCAAGGATGTCCTGTATGAGTGCTTTACTCTTTGATACCAGACTTATAGGTTTGGCTATCCCAGATCTAGTACAGCTGGTCATTGTGAGTGGTAGTCGACCTTATAAGGGTTATTGAGTGTCGATAGAGGATCATCCACTCTTGGCGTCATAAGAGGAATATCCCATGTGTTCTTGCTCAGAAAAATCCCTGGCCAGGGTCATTTGGGTTGAGAGAGGAAGAGTTCTCCGGGATAATCCATTAGAGCGAGACTCAAGTAGAAACCGTATGGGTCTGACAGCACCATGCTCGATATACGGTCTTTAGGATATTAGATGGATAAGGGACTATAAGTACATGGTAACTGAGGACAGACAGGTCCAATGGATTGGATTCCCTTGTATCGTCTGGGGACTACGGCGTAGTGGCCTAGTACGTCCGTAGTCGATGAGTCAAGTGAATTATTACAAAGATAATAATTGATTGAGTTAGAAGGAGTTCTGACAGGTATGACTCACGGCTAGCATTGGACTGGTCGACACACATCCACCTAAGGTAGGACTAGAAGCTCTTAAGCTCCTTGTCAGCGTGAGAGAGGTCGCATACATATGATGTCTTACTATGCAATAGTAGCTTAGTGCTACTACTAATAGTCACTTACATGATGACGCCTCCTCCCACCATTAATGATGATTTTTTTTTAACTTAAATTATATATGTTATTATATTAATAGTTTATTATGAGTTAGTATGTTACGTAAGTAAATGCTAACATTTGTTAACTCAAACTTGATAGAAAGGGCTTATAAGCTATATTTTTTAAAATATAATGATTATTTTAGACACGAGTAAACTATAAGGGCTTAAGATATACATAACCAAAACTAAACATGTGTCATTATATTAATGATTTATTATGAGTCAACATGTCACGTAAGCAGATTCTAACATCTATTAACTCAAACTTAATGGAAGAAACTTATGTGTTATGTTTTTAAAAATGTAAAGACTATTTTAAACATGAGTAAATCATAAGAGCTTAAGAGGTCTATGGTCAAAACCACAAGAGCTAAAATAAACCTTAATCCTTTAAAATATATATGCTTTGAATTGTTTCTCAGATTTCATGAACATAAATATAGATTTTAATTGATTCCTTTACCACTTGATCGTCTCAATTATTTCTTACTGGAATAGTTATTTGAGCTTGATTTGTTTGCTTGTTTTTTTTTATTTTTTTGGACTTATTCTTTTTTTTTCTTGCCTACAATCTTATCGTTGTTCATCTACAAGGCATTGTGTCCAAATTCCTTGATAAGAATAATGCTACACTACTAATGGATGGTGAGGTTGCTTGCAGTTTGAAGACTCTCATGATGCAAACCGAACAAACACTTATCACTCGTCGATCATCTGTAATTAATACCACAACAGCCATTAAGCCATTCGGATAATGACCTCCTTGAGGATGGCTTCCGTGTCGGCATAGCACGCCTGCGTCATGGTGTCACTCCGCTTCTTCGCGGCCTCTTCAAGCTGTATCGAAACAATGGAGACGACGATGACGGTGTGTTCCAAGCTCGACAAGGATGATGGAGATGGTGTCGCATTACCTTCTCAACACTGTCGAACAATCGAATGGCGAGGTCCGTGAGCGGTTGCTTCTGCTCCTCGGGGGCCGCCGAGATGACCTTGTCGAAGTCGTAGTACATCACCGTAGACCGCAGGCACAGATACTTCATCAGGTAGCTCCACGCATCCTGGCCGATGAGGTCGCCCAGGGCCAGCAGATCGAAGGCGTAGTGCTTCAGCCTGTAAGCACTCATCTGCGGGCCTATGTTCGCCATGTATATTCCATTTCTCAGGAACGATCGGGTTCCCGTCTCCTTGTTGGCGATCTCTGCCGCCAAGGATTCCGGCGTCAAATACGTCGGTGCACTAAATCAAACAGTCGGAAAGACCCGTGTTCTAAAAGCTTACCGCTGGTGACAGCCGGAACCGGCAATGGGCCGGTCAGCCACAGCCCGTTTCCTTCCTCCGCTTGCGATGACCCGATGCCCAGCTGCTGGAGTAGGGAGGCCATGGCGATGCTCACAGAAGCTCTCCTAGAGACTTGCACTGGATAGCACTTTGGCTCCCTATTCTTGCTCGCCGACATCGTGACTGTCAGCCATCTGCTCTGTGGTTTCGAGTCTCCCCTCAGAGTGGGTCGAGTCGGGAGGATTTGGGACGCACCACCGAGGTTGGAGAGTGGAGTAGCCATGATGGTTCTGAAGGGGGAATGGCATACACAAAGTCCATATTTCTTTGCTCTTGTTATCTGCTGAAGAAGGGCTGTAGGCCTCTCTGACCACACAAATCGCATCCATATGGGGGGAGTTGGAGATGGAAAGGGTAGTCCAAACTTTTGTTTTGCATTCCAAGTGATTGGATAAGTACAGTGAAACGGTGTCGAGGCATACAATCCAAATTAATGAATGAGATTATACTAGTTCTGAATACTAATTGTCGAAGCAACATGGACAATGGGAAAAAGACAAAACACAGTGTGAAAGGATGAAAAACTTATATTACAATGTGCAGATTATAAGTCCTAATATACACTTAGTCAACATGAATGACAGGAAAAGAATAATCAAATCCCTAAGACTATATAATTATATTAATCAAGTATCTAAATTTATGAAATTGATTCTGGTTGAGAATCTTTATTAATACGAATTTATTACCTCGAATTTATAAATTTGAGTGACTTGTTGGAGAAGATTCTTTCTTAATAAAGTGATTTACTATTTTTCGTATATCCTTGATGATGCTTCTATCAAAAACATCAATCTTGGATCATAACCATATGAAGCTAGACTTAGCTAATGATTTTGTAAAGATGTCTATAACCTAGTCATATGTGGAGATATGAGCAACTTGAAGAGAACCATTATCAATCTTATCCTAAACAAATTGATAATCGAGGGTGATATAGAATGAAATACCAGATTAACATATATATAATTCACATCAATATTATCACAAAGAATACAAAGAGGTTAACTAAGCGAGATACCCAACTTAGATTATTGATTAATGAGCCAAGATAACTCGACCAAAGTAGAGGTGACAAAGCGAAATTCAACTTTTATGGATGACCGAGCAATTGTCCATAGCCTTTTAGAGCACTATGCTATTGGGTTGGCTCCAATAAAAATGACATAAGCTGATATTAATGTGAAGTCATCGTAAGTAGTAACCTAATCAACGTCAGAATAGGTAGTAAGAATGAGTGGTTGGGAGCATTGTCGAATATGACTATTGAGAGATAGTATGTCTAAGATATTAGAGAAGATACTTGGCGATCGTCCAATGAGTTTGAGTAGATAGGTTTATGTATTGAGCAAGTTTATTGATAGCATATGAGATATCTGGTCACGTAAGTGACAAGTATTATATGGCACCAATGAGATTGTGATATTAGGTAATATCTATAGAAGGAGAGTTATCATTGAGGACTAATTGCATTGTGATGCTGAGAGGTGTAACGATCTCTTTGGTGCCTTCCATCTTGAAGCACTTAAGTAATCTCAAATATAATTATATTATGAGAGAAAGAGGCCTTCAACAATAGGTATAACTTCCAACTCTCAAGAAGCAGTAAAAATTGCCAAGATCTTTAATGAAGAATCTCCTTAAAAAGAGCAATAATGACATATCAAATAAACTGTTTCGAATTTTTTTATGATTAATAAATCATCTACATAAATGAGAATATAAACTGTAATAGACTTATCAGTATATATAAAAAATGAAATACTACATTTAGAGTTAATAAAGCTAAGGGTGAGAATGAAATTGTTCAATTCATGAAACAGCATGAGATGCTTGTTAACATATAGAGTGACTTGTAAAGGTGATACATAATTTAGGCATGGGACATCAATGAACCTCGGTGGTTGAGACAGATTTCTTTAGTTAAATGACCACGAGGAAAAACATTGTTGACATCTGATTGATTTACCATCTATCCATGAGTGAGAGAAAGAGAAAGAACAAGATGAATTGTTTGTGATTTGATTACTGAACTAAAAGTTTCATGTTAGTCCTCTCTGGGACGTTGATGGAAATCCCATAGTGACAAGCTGAGATTTCTAACGAGCTATACTTCAATTCGAATTCTGCTTAATTCTAAAACCCATTTTAAACTGATGATGTTTTGATTGGAAATACGAGCAAGTAACTCTCAAGTTCCATTCTTTATGAGAGCATTAAGCTCTTCACACATGGCCTCTCTCTACTTTGGATCTTTAATAGCTCAAGTGACAGGGGAGGATTCAAGTGTTGGAGGAATGAGATGTTTAATAGTGAGATGAAAAACTGTTTCTTAAAAATATTATTTTGTGATGGGGTGATCATGGTGTGGGTACGTTAAGGGATCGTGGATGTTTGTGGAGTTTGGATGGGAGGTTGAAAGTGATGGACCATATTATGAAGATGACTTGCTCAAAGGTAAGCCGAAAGATGCCCCTGAAGTAGTGTTCGCCGGATGAACATCAACCAACAATGATAAGTCGCTAGATTGCATTGAGTTAGAGGGGCCGAATGTATCTGAATAGGAACCAGTGAAGTTGATGCATAGATGAAACTTAGCAGTGACTCGTGAATGGAAGGTGAAGATGCTACCAAAGGAGGGGAGGGGGGGTGGGGGTGCGGGCGGGGGCGTGAGTGTGGAGTGACGTAGGACTATAGATTTGATGATAAAATCAATTAATGAGTTTATGATCTAATCTACATTTTGAGTGACGCAGGACTATAAATTGATTAAAGCAGGAGGAATCAAATGTTGGGTCAAAGTGAACATGTCAGAAGATTGGACGTTGGGCCGGAGAATCAGTCAATGTATTGGCAGAAGGCTTCGTACCATGAGTTTGGGCATCGGGTCAAGAAGATCAGACATTACTCCAAAGAGATCGAATGTTACAGGAAGACAACATGTCGATTGGGCAACATGCCAAAGGAGAGAACGATGTGTTGAAGGATCGGACGAAGCGTCGAATGAACCAATGACATACCAGACAATATAAGATTCATACTTATAATAATTTATCTAGATCGAGTTAGTTTAGGTCTAATTGAGTCGGTATTGGGGGTAAAAATAATACCAACTCAATTATAGGTTAATTAGGCTTGAATCAGGGCTGAATTGGATATATTATTTGGCTCATTCAATATCCTATAGCAAGATTTAGCGATGGTACCATCTAGACTTAGCGGTGGTATCGCCTAGACACAATCTTCAAGATTATATCAGGTGATGGTACCACCAGACTAGGCAGTGGTACCACCCAAACACACTCTCCCAGACTATGTCAAGCGGTAGTACTATTAGACTGAGTAGTGATGCCACCTAGTGTCAGTGCTGTAGGCGATGGTACCACCCAACACAAGCGGTGGTACCGCCAGGACTCGAAAAACCTAGGATGAGACTTTTTTTGGCTCTATTTTTTAAGTCAATTATGGTCTATAAACACCCCAGCTATTCTTGCATGGAAGAGAAAGAAAGTTGAGCAAAACTCTATGACTCTAAAGTTGTAAACCCTATTAGAAAGTTAAGTTCCCTTCTCCTAAAGCTTAGAGAGAGTTCTAAGAGAGGTGTGTGAGGGATACTGATAAGACCCTAAAGGTCTTATCGTCGCTCTGATACCAAATGATAAGACCCTAAGGTCTTATCGTGGAAGAAATGGGAGAAATGGGGATGATAATGATCACTTCGAGGGGATCGGCCCTCCTTGATCGCTTCGAGGTGATCGGCCTCCTAGGGTTTTTCAAAAGACAGAATAGTATTTTTCATAAATTACTGAAAAGAAGCAGTTACATCCCTATTTATAGAGCTCTACCCAAAGTCCATCAGGACTTGAACTCTAATAATAAATAAATATTAAATAAACCTCTACTTGACTCTAACTGAACCAAACCGACTCAATAAACAACTGGACTAAACAGACTCAATAAACATTATTCAAAAGCTCAGAAAAAGGGTCCTAACAGTTCCTCCCTCTTCAAATCAGCCTTGTCCTCAAGGCTGGCAGCATCAATCTCGGGGAGCTTGTCTTTTAGCACTTCAGTCATAGGCTATCTGTAACGCATCACAACCCGTTGATCAAGTAAGTATGATCTCCACTTTTTAATAGTGTAAGCAACAAGTCGGTCTTTCAATGTAGCAATCGTTGCATGAAACTTCTGGCCCTGTATAATCAATTTTATCTTTGAACCTTTGCTATCACACGTGAAAATCCGTCCATCAACGATCTTTACTTCGAATCTGTCATAGTCTTCAATGTGGTGGGCCAATCGGTCAATAGTCTCACTGTCCATAAAATTGTTAGTGCTACCAGTATCAATCAAAACTATAACAGGCTGATGTTCTAGAGTTTCGCCAACTTCCATAGTTTGCAGGTTAGAGTAGTCGGCTAATGCATGCATTGTATATATGGTAGGTCCAACATCTTCATTAGAATTTATACCTTCATGATCGGAGTCCACATTCTTAGCTTTCGGTTCCTCTCCAATTGGTTCAATCATCAGATGTTGCCCTTGTTTACATCGGTGCTCCATACTCCATTTTTCATCATAATACAAACCCCTTGCTGATCTTTCCTTGCTAATTTTTTTCTCATGTAGATTTGCAAATGAGATCGCAGCTATCATAGTACGGGGTTGACGAGCCTTAACTTCACACCGGATCTCTGGAATAAGCCCTTCAATAAATGTATCCAGAAGTTGTCGGTTCGACCAATCTCTAGCTTAGATTTGATAATCTTTCAAACTTACTCTGATATTCTAACACTGTAGAAGTTTGATGAATTTTGGCGAGCTAGCAATCAACATTCTTATATTCGGATGGGCCAAAGCGAATAAGAAG